AAACTTGAAATGAACTTCTCTTACTTAACTCTTGACTTTGATCTCAACTCTTACTTGAATTGACTCATAAATGATCCTTGAATTGAATTATGGATTCAAAGATTATGATTTGTGTTTGGAAAGACTTCATGATGTAAGAATGAATCCAAATTGCTAAACTTGAGAAAAGTTACGAAATCACCGTCTTGGAACAAGTCCACGACGCGGAGATGCTCCAAAAGAATTATTTACGAAATTAAATTTTGAGAGAGTGGAGTCCGCGTCATGTTCGTAACCCGGAGTGATTTTTTGGCGGACTTGTTTGACGCAGCAAGTCCAACTTTTTCCTTTTTCGTTTTTCAACTCCAATTTACCAAAACTCGAATATCTTTCTCAATATCATTTTCAATCTCGATACCCTACATTAATACTCATGAACCTAACACAAAGTAACTCTAAAACTCAACATTAAAGGTCTCAAAACTGCAACATTCAACCCAATTCAAGAACACATTTAAATTCAAGAACAAAAGTCAAGAACATCAACTTTCAATAGTTTATAGGACAGATACCACTGAATTAAACACGTTTGGCGCGTGGGTGAACGAACTCAATTGCTATGAGAGATTCAATATACTTTTTTAGGGATCACCCTGAAGAAATCCACAAGCAAAACGATCGTTCTTGGAAATTCTTAATTTTCCTCTTCTCCTTTGCCTTGTGTTCTTTCTCCAAAAGCCCTAACGTGAATTCTCAATCTTTCTAAACTGAACTAAGTCTGATTTTTACCACATTCAAGTCACTAAAACGAATTAATTTAATTGAGTAAGAAAAAGTCTAATTTACCCTTTTAATTCATGGATTGGACATTTTCTTAGTCTAACTTCCAAAGGGAATAACTCACTCATCCAAACTCGAAAATCTGTAAATTCGGAGGCGTTGGAGAGATTGTTCCAAGGTCTTTTCAATCATATCTGAAATTACGACGAACTCATCTTGAGTTAGAAGTTATGACCGTTTGAAGTTGACCAAAACTTCCTTTAACTTACTTACAAATTTCGAGATTTTTAATTTATTTCCAAAAATAGTTATTTCCAAATTCTAAACCTTCTTATAGTCTCTTTTAGTTGCGAGATGTTACAGTATATATCTTATCTCATAAATATTCTATCGATATTAAGCGAATTATTGATTATTTTTTTTATAATTTAAAATAAGTGAATATATTATACAATGTTTAAAAGAGTTGTTGGAAATTTTATTTATTTTCACCTCTCATTTACATTTTTTGATAATTTTAAAAGATAAATTGCTCATATTTATAATTTTATTTTGAATATATATATATATATATATATATATATATATATATA